TACCAAAACAGCTGGAGAATTCATCTTAAACTTCTTAAATTTAAAGGAGAGAAAAGCACGTGTAGTAAGCAAATTAATATAACAAAGGCTTTACGCCTGTGAGCACTTGTGCATGTGCTTTAATTTAATTTCAATGGTTGTTTCCACTGAAACAGATGTAAGTATTAGAGTAAACTTAAACTTGTGTGTGAACTTGCAAAAAGAAGAGGCAGGAAGAATGTTAAGGAAGAAAGTCTAATCATTAAAGAAGAAACGCTTTGCAGAGGTGAAAGAAAGCTGGTTCTTAGAGATAAAAACTTTAAAAAGATTAAAGAACAACATCTCTCAAAGTAAAGAAAACCTGATATGGAAGGAAGAACAAACAAGGATTCACATACGCAAAGGTGCCAACATGCTGCCTCTGCCTAGAGGAGCAATTGTGCTGTTGTAGGCACCCTCCTAAGTGTCTTCTGCCACGTGCCCTGCAGTATCAAAGCTCAAACTATTTCTTTAATTGCACAGAAGTTTTTTGGCAAACTGCACTGGGTTTTTAAATGGGTGATAATATCCTGTTACTTAGATTTGTTAACTCAAAGTATTGTTTATTTATGTCAAGTTGGAAGAGAATAGTTTTGAAACAGATCTGTCCTGATTCTGTCCTCAGTGCAGAATGAATGAAGGTCGTTGATGCTTTAGTTTTCAGGTGTTAGAAACCTGGGCTATGCTTCAGGCAGTTTTGGAGACAGACAGGGAAAAGGAAGTTCTTGATTAAAGGTTGTTAGTTGTTATGCACACAGAAGGTTTAAGTGTGGTGTGTGACTCTGTGAGCGCTCAGTGGGCAGGGATCAATGGTGTAGCAGTTGGGTAAAAATTAGATGCAGAGTGAGGAAGATCATAAATAAGTGTAAGTTGGCAATGTCTTGTCAAGGAAACTGTGCCCTCTTGTTAGATTTTGCTTTGTTAACGTTTTGTACCTGAAAAAATGTATTCAATCAAAAAACGCAGAGGGGCTTCAGACTCAGTGACCTGTAAAGGAGGTTCAGAAGTCAAGGGGGAAAAAAGAGAAAACTGTTCCTCACTTGAAAAAAAAAAAAAATAAAAAAATGTATATTTGGTGTTTGTTTCTTTTTTTGTCTGGAATAAAGAAGCCCAAAAGTGAAGCTGTTGACTGTATAAATGGTCTATGCACACAGAAATAATGGCTTATTGGGAAGTGGTGGATTTAAACTGCATCAAAAAACCATAAGCTTGGATTTAGAGAAAAATGTACAGTGGTAAAGGAAGTTTGCTGCTTGAATGCATCTTGAGGAATATGAAAATTTCTATTGTTGAGCTTAAAACAATCATGCAAAACAGTCCATCCATAATTTGTCAGGAAGTGATGTAAGTTCATTCTTACATGGTATAGAAAATGAAGCTTTCGTAGCCCCCTCCTCCCCGTTTTCCTTGTACTGGAAAGACTGAAGAACATTTGGGTCTTTGCTGTATCTCTCCTGGCTGCGTATGCACATGTATGTCTGTATGCGTACGTACATTTAATAAATGTGACAGCATTTTTGTTCACTAATTCATCCTGCTGTAATGCATTGAAGATACTTGCAGTCTAACTAAAGAGAGCATGCCCCTCAAGGGAGTAATGGAGAAGCATGCTAAAGGTGAACTGTATGGTTTTTAAGCAGCAAGAGGAACGATAGAGGCGGTTTGGAGCATGCTCTTTAGCAGAAGTCTGAATCATAGAATTGTCTGTTCCATGTTGGAAGGGACCCGCAAGGATCATGGAGTCCAGCTCCAGGCTCCACACAGCTGCGCCCAAAATCAAATCCTACGTCCGAAAGCTTCTGGATGCTCCATGAACTCCAGCACTCGGGGCTGTGCCCACAGCCCCGTGCATCCTGTTCCCTGCCCACCGCCCCCCGGTGCAGACCCTGTCCCTTAACCCCCAACTGCTCCTCCCCTGACGCAGCTCCATGCAGTTCCCTCGGGTCCTGTCTCTTTCACACAGAACAGAGCTCAGCGCTGCCCCTGTGCTCCCAGTGAGGAGCTGCAGCCACCGTCAGGCCTCCCCTCAGCTCCTCTGCTCTGGGCTGAGCACACCCAGGGACTTCTGTGGCTTCTCGTGCATCATATTGTGTCCTTCACACCCTTCACCATCTTCGTAGCCATTCTTTGATTGCTCCCCAATAGCATTATTGAATTATTTGGCTTGGAAGGGACCTTGAAGATCATCTAGTTCCACTCCCTTTGCTGTGGGTTTGAATAATTTGATGACTTTTTGAAGTGTGAGAGCCATACTGCAGGCACTCTCGCAAAGCAGCAGTGTTTCAAGAGAGGACACACTGCCTACCAGCAACGCTGTACAAACCATCTAAGGATTGACAGGATTTGGCCTTCTGTTTAAAAAGTCAGCAGTCTAAACATGTTGATGCATCTGAACACTTTGGCCAGGTGTGCGCCACCTGTATTTTCACTGAGTTCCCTGCATGATTGGTAAGAAAATGAGATATTCTCAGATGTTCACCTAGAATTGGGCACCTTCTGTTATGTTTGTTCTTCTTCAGCTGTGCACAGCAGTATTTCTAAAAGTAGGTGGAATGAAACTGAGCCTTCGTGAACCAATTCAAAACATAAATGCTTATAGACTATCTCAGATCTTTTGTGCTTCATTTACAAGGCAATGCTAAGTTTTCACAAATACAAATTAAATGAGCTTGGAGTTTTGTGCAGGGCCCTTTATAACATTTGGCTGTATTGTACTACGCTTTGAACTTCGCCTTTTGTCGTGGTGATCTTCAGCCTATAAACTTAAAGCTCCGCTGTACTTTGCAAAACAGGATGTTGTCAAATGGGGGAGAGAATATGCAAAAAAAAAGAAACAAAAAAACCAGAAAACATAAAACTTAAAATAGCCTGGTGTGTTGAAACAGACATTAAGTATACACTTACTGTTTTACTCATTTTGCAACCTCGGTGCATCACGATGATACTGTATTTTAAATGGCAAAATTTTCTAGTGAGCTGTGTGGGCAGTGAGTTGTTTAACTCAGTAATAGCTCGAGGTATATGTGCTTCGTTGTGATTTTTTTTTCCTCCCTGTGCCAGTGAATTGTGACAACAATTTTTCTACTCATCTCTTATCAACAAACTGTTCAGCTAGTTCCTTTCTACCCGGGTAGACGTCAAATATAAAGTTGTTGTTTTTTAAAAAAATCCATATTTGGATGAACTGATCTGTCTCTGGAAATCCACATTTCTACAGAGGTCACGATGTAGGTCACGTGAGATGCTGTGCTAATGGCTCTGACAGTACTGATCGCTTTGCTCTGATGCTGAGATAATGCATGCTTTTCTTTTTTTTTTAAATGTAAACTTAAAGTACAGTGAGCTCACCTCGCTGTGACTCAGGATCAAGGTTTGAAGGTTTTCAGCCATTAGATTTTGTGGGTCTAACAGTGAACTGTTAGGCATATATCTGGCACAGAGAAATTTAATAATGGAAGTAGCATGGAGGCTGTAGGACCTATGTAAGGTTGAAAGCTAGATCTCTTGACAATGAATATCTCATATATTCTTTTCTGGCAGCTTTCCTATTAGGCAAGCAAATATCCTGTGGTGTCTCTGATCTCTGTCCAGTCCTCTGGATAGGGTTTGTTGAAGACTGTTTTGTAGCATGTCTTAAGCTGACGCTCCAGGTCCCGCATGGCTTGTTTCCGTGACTGCTCAAAGGGTAGGCAGTCACCACACCCAAAATAATACTCCCACAAAGAGTTTGGTGTATGAATAGTTGCAACTGCTCAAATAGTTACGCTGCTGCAAGTACGCTGTCTTGATTAATTGTTATCTTGATCAATTAAGAATGACATCACTGGTTTATAGTTACTTCTAGAATGCTGCTTAGAAGGCAGATAACTCGTTCAGTAAGCAGATAACTCAGTTCAGTTAGCTTAATTTTGCTGCAGTTTATTTGGAGCTGCATAACATACTTTCTGCATGTAATTATTTACTCTGACTAGTAGTATTAAGCACGTTGTATACTTCTCCCTGTGATCTGTCAGACTGACAAAATAGATGTTAAAAGTAGGTGTAGCAGAAACACAACAGGAATTTATGAGACAGAATAAACCAGATGATATCATTGTTTGGCTCATGTTCTTTTTCTGTTTTTCTCCCTATACTGCTTATTTGCATTTCTCCATTGAATTTGTTTTGTTTCGTTTTGTTTTGGTTTTTTTTTAGAAGAGTGAAAAGATGCAGTTGTTGTGTAGTGTTTTTGTTTTTTCCTTTCTTCAGTTGTGAATGTCATCCTCCTGTGTTTTATTAGGGAAAAAAAAAAAAAACAACCTCAGTAGCAGTGGATCTGTGGAGTAAAACGTGTGGTGCCCAGGTCCACATGCAAGTTAGGAAGGTTCTTCTTTTAGCAAGCTATCATCTGCCTCTGTGGGCTGCATTCCTGCTGGCAGATGAATTGGATGTGTGCTTATGGAATGTATCTTCCAGCTTGCTTTCACCTAGGGGAAGTCCAGTCTACATTCACCAGTACTGCTTGCCAGTATGGACCACAGCAGATTGAGTAGTAATGTTTGCTTTTCCAACCCTCTCAGTGACTTACTTGTAAAAACTGTTATGAAAGTTTATTTCAGAGAAGTTATTTCTATTTGCCATGTTTTTCTGTCACTGTCCACAACATGTTGCCTTGCTTCTTTTCCATTAGTTTCATTGTCGTTAAATAACCTCTTCAGAATTCAGTTTATATATGAACATTTGTGAGGAGGACATTCATTGCAACTTTAATGAACTACATCCTTCTCTGTCACTCTAAACCAGAAATACAAAATTACTTCTCTTCCTTGAATATGTAGAAAAAAAAGCAGCCTGCTTTTTGTTGAGCATAATTTTGAAAAGTGCAATAGGCATGAGTATCAGTTTATTTTAAACACTGTTACATCGAGTAGAAGTTTCCCAGAAACAGTCATTACATTTTAGGATACCTTATTTTTAAAATTCTTTTTTCCATCTGTTTGCAGGTGTATTTGTCAGGCTTTACATCAGAAGATCTGTGTTTTGGTGACTCACCAGTTGCAATATCTCCGTGCTGCAACTCAGATTCTAATATTAAAAGATGTAGGTGATAATTATAGCTTTCTAATCGTCTTTTATAATCTAAGAAAGGAAAAAAAAAAGTTCACATCTCATTTTTTATTTGTAAATGCATTTTCTGTTCACTGACTGTGTGTGTTTTTTAAGATAAATAGTTACTAATAGCAGTTTTTTAGAACAACTTGCCTGTTACATCTTGCTTCTGAATTTTATTATACCTACATATAATTTTACATATGAATTCTGTCTTACATATATATGTAATATATTGTGAAAGAATTATTTCTTTTGAGACAGAGTTAATGCTTTGCTTTTATTCTTGTTTTTTACACTGTTGTGTGAATTAAGGGCTGTGTTGGTTTTGCAGCCAATCGCCTTTTTAAATTCAGACTGAGAAACAGGCACAGATACCTTTGAGAACAAGCAGTCCTTCAGAGAAACTGGTTCCTTCCAGACTTTCTTGTACCATTTGTTCACATGTAGAGAGGAAATACAACAACTTGAGATGTTTTTTCAAGGTTGAGTGATGAAGTACTTCAAATTACTTTTGATGCATCACAGAGTTGCAAGAAAGCATGTTACCTGCCTTTTTCCTCGTTCAGATCTCTTTAAATGTTGCATTAGTGTTCTAGGGATGAGTTTGTGACACATAGAAGAAACAGCACACACTAGGAAAAAATCTGGAGTAGACATGACTGATGGTCATGAATGTAGTTCAGTAAGCATGTGCTAAAGCTGCATGGCTGTCCTCTGCAGCTTCTCCAGAGAGGTAAGTCTCACCTGGCTGTAACTGGGACTTTTGCTGTCCCCCATCTGTGTTATTTGGCCTCACAAACTGTCAGAACAGGATTGCTCAGAGAGTGAAGAGCTTGTTACTGCACTTTGGAATGATGAATTGAGAGAGGCTTCACTTCATTTACTGCAGTGGGTTGTATGCTTAGCAACAGCAGAACTGTAGAAGCAGCAGGGATAGGTGAAAACATTGTTACGGAAAAGGTACAATGAAGATAATAAAACTTGTATTAATTGTAGGGTAAAATGGTGGGAAAAGGGACCTATTCAGAGTTCCTGAGGTCTGGCATCGACTTTGCTTCCCTTCTGAAAAAAGAGGAGGAGGCAGAACAGCCGTCAGTTCCAGGCACCCCAAACCTGAAGTCCTCCCGGAGCCGTACCTTTTCAGAGTCCTCTGTCTGGTCCCAGGATTCTTCTGTCCACTCAATGAAAGATGGAGCAGTGGAGCAACCACCTGTGAGTACTCAGAGAACAGAAACATCACAATTCTTGTTTGGCTGTGTGTGTTTGTTTTTGTTTGTTTGTTTTCAACTCAGACTGTGAGGAGGGCTCTTTCCTGACTGCCTTTGAATTTCAGTGAGTGTTGGCTTCCATTAGCAGTTGAGAGCTCACTTGTGGCTGCCCAGAACTGGTAATCCTACCCCCTAAGCTGCAGAGGGCAGGCATCCAACAGCTGTGTGCAGCTCTCCTCAACAGTTTGATCAGATTCATCAGTGGCTCTGCCGAGTTTCCAAAAGAGTTGTACCCTGGTATTTCCTGTCCTCTGACAGTGGTACTTTAAAGGATCAATAATACTGTGTTGAGTGGGTCTTATGTGTTTGTACAGTGCTGAGGTCAGATTAATAATTTCCTTGAAATCATAAGCTTGGGAAATGCATGCAGAATATATAGCAGTGGCTTCCTACAAAATCTTCATTTGCATGGCTGGTATTATCATCCCCACATGATCATGAGCTGGCCCTAAGGGAAGAACCTTGGGATGCTGTTGCACAGCTCTCCCCAGCTCTTCTGGTATCGAAAAAAGAATGCTTTTATGGTGCCAGCTTGACTTCCATATGCCTGGTTATCTCTTGGTCTACACCGTGCAAAAGCAGCTGTAATGTTTTCTGTACCAGAGGTGGCCTTGTGATGGTGTGTTTGCATTCACACAAAACAGTGCAGGAGTCCTGTAGCCCTGCTAAGTTTATGCTAGCATACATCCATGGAACAGGTAATCTCTATATGTCCTTGAATCTTTTCATCTTTATGCTATGCGTGTACATGATACATTTTTCTATAATAGAAAGCAGTTAGAGCTGCTAAACCCAATCCCCACCCTCCCAAAAAAAGGGCTGCAAATGTTTACTTTTCATGTCTTTTTGGAAGAATGTTTTTATGCCAAAAAGCAGTGAACTTATCTTCATATCTGATATTATTCATTTGTCAGCAATAACTGCTGTAAGATCCACAAACATGCCAAACTTCTTAGCAGTATTAGAGCTGTTGGGTTGAGAGGGGAAAGAGAAAAAAAAGAACAACAAGCAAAACAAACGACTCCCCAAAAAACAAGATAGGCTTCTCTTACAGGCAAGTTACTGGGGTTTCTCTTCACTTCTGAATCAGATCTGTTCATTCCTCTGCTTCTGTACAGCTATGTCTGCTGATAACAATACCAAATGTTATATGTGCATTGATTTAACACCTGGTTTTCTATCATGTAAGAATAACCCCCTTCCCTCCCCCCCCCCCCCCCCCAAAAAAAAAGAAAAAAACAAAAAAAACCAGAATGTTGTTCATTTGGATAATAGATCTGTTTTATGTCTGTTTTGGTTTTTTACTTTTCTCTCTTTTATTGTTCCCTATCCATGGGTCATTTTACTGGTTTTTCCCAATTAACAGATGCTTTGATTAGAAGTTTGTTAATTCTTTTTTTACTGTCAGCATATGTTGACTGATTTCTGATTCAAACTTGCAGAAGATTGTTTACTTTAAATATTTTTCTGAAAAGGAAGGATTATACACACTTGGATACTGAAAACAGAGACTTTTCTATGTTACGACCTTGGTTTTGAGAGCCGTGATGATTGATGCTAGTGCGTAAGAAAAGAAAAATCTGGTGCAGCAGTTAGCAGTGCTGGCAGTTGGAGCAAATATTTCTGACTGCAAATGAACTCATGTTACATGCCATGATGCAATGCAAAATATAATCCTGCCAGTGTCATTTTGCAGAGTAGATTTTTCAGTGTTACTGCAATGAGACTAATTTTTTTTTGTGAAAGCTGTAGTTCTCATACTTAAAGTTTTTGTGTGTGTAATCGCTTTATCTTATTATTTAATTGTTTGCTGATTTTGAACCATGTCTTTCAAGTAGCTTAGGCTGAATCTATAGCTGCCAGGTTAATGTTTTGGCTTTTTTTTTTCCAGGCTGAAAATCCACTGGCTGCCGTGTCAGAGGAGAGTCGTTCTGAGGGAAAAATAAACTTTAAAGTTTACAGAAAATATTTCACTGCAGGAGCGAACTACTTTGTGATTTTTATACTTGTATTATTTAATATTTTGGCACAGGTAAGGCACAGGCAGTAAAAAATAATAATAACAAATAATGTTGGTTTTGCCATTTTTTGACGTAGTGTATGCTTACGACTGTGATCTTGCAATGAAAATATTTAGGAACATGGCTTTCTTACATCTAATAAGTTGATCAAGTATGGAGTTTTTATACTGCATTGAGATATTATGCACTGATCCTTATTCCAGCAGTTGTAATACTTAAATAAAATCATAATTCCACTGACAATGCAGCACACAAATTAGAAGCCAGTTTCGTTTTTTGGAGGCGCAAAACAAAATCTTAAGGTGTATTAAATAGCATTTAGCAAATCTGAAAAAATATTTCCTTCTCCATCTGGAAGCATAAAGAGCTTGATGGGGTATGGAGGAAGGATTACAGAATTGTTAAAAGAAAAGCTCTTCTGCTGGTAAACACAGGTTAAGAAAAAGGCTAGAAGAGTCACTGTTTAGAAGAAGAAGAAAGTGAAATATTGTGTGATGCAGACTGTAACAGATACATAAAAGAATTCTTAGAGAAGGAAAATTATTTTTAAAACTTACTGAAAGAAATGATGAGCTGAGAAGGCTCTGTGAAGACAGCCTATTGCCCTTCTCTTTATTTCCTGCTGAGAAAGCTCAAATTCATTTCATGGAAATGATTGGTCTTGGCTGTAAAAAGTAGTATGTATATTTATACACGTTACATCCTTTTTGCTTATCCTTAAATTGAGTCTGTTGGAAAGAAGGACAACTAAGCAGGATCTCTGCAGCAGGCTTTAATTCACGTGAACAGAGGTATATTTTGAGATAAGTAGCCCTTTTACAGGTTTATAGTCACCTCTTGACACAGAAGGAAAATGGTGGTAAAAGTTTTTCCCTCCCTCTCCTCTCTCATCCTCTTTCAATTCTGTTTCTGGTAATTATCTCCTGTAAACACAAATTTCTGGACTGGTAACATCAGAAAGTTTGTTAATCAAAAAGCATTTTGAAATATCTGTAGTGGCAAATTTAGGAACTGAAAATATGTCTTCTTTAATGTGCAATTAACGTATGTTAGGAAGAGCTACTATGTTTTACTTGCCTAAGTGTCTTGCTTTCCTTTAGTTTACTAACAAGGAAGGTAATTTAAGGTAACTTCTTTCTTTGTAGACGGATCTCATAAATCTTCTAATGTGCTTTGCAAATTGCTGCTAATCTTGAAAGACTGGATGGCATACTTCTTTGAATATGTGTTGTTTTCCCAGAGAACATAAAAGAATAGCAAGGAAGTTAACTTTCTAATGTTTTTTTCATTTTGCAAAATGATTCCTGTATTTTCCTCTTTTATTCAAGGTGGCATACGTGCTCCAGGATTGGTGGCTTTCTTACTGGTGAGTTAATGGTGAAAACTGATCAGTCGGTCCTGTCTTTTCACTCAAGAGTTGTTTGTCAAATAGAAATCACTGTTGTATAGGTATGGGAAAAAAAACTTGTTCTAGGAAACTTGATCTGCTTGATATTTTCTTGTCTCTACTCATTCTGTGCATGGAAAAAAAATGAAACATTATGCTGTGGCTGTGATAGCTTCTTCTCATGGTGTGGTGCATGGCAGTACATGGGATCTTTTGCACTGAAGGTTTCAATAGAGTTGAATCTAGAAACAGTTAAACATGCTCATGAATATTTGCAGAATGTGATTTGATGATTGTTATCTTCCGTATGCATTTCCACAGGGCAAATCATCAAGAAAAGCTGAATGTTACAACAAATGGAAATAATGGAGCAAATGAGACTGAGCATCTAGACCTTACCTTTTATTTGGGAATTTACGCAGGTAATGACACGTGTGCAGGTGTCTGTATACCTTAAAGATCTATTACTTAACCTACTATAATTAACAGTTTTGAGTGGTGCAAAGCAATGGCAATGTGGGGAAATGTGATTTCTAGCAGGAACTGAGCATCCTAACAGATTTGGAGCTTCAGTCTTGCTTCCTTACTAAACTTACTGGAATTAATAAATAAGTAGATAAATACAACAGAAGAAATGGGTTGAATGCAGACTCTCCAGTTTTTTTGCCTAGATTTTAGAAAGTTAAACATTCAAAAAGTAAGCTTATGGTTGTTGTCTCTATTAATAGATTACCCAGCTCTATCTCCTGTTGGGCAAGAGGGGTTTGAAACTGATACTCGTTCTGTACTGTTCTAAAACTTGGCATGGCAACATTACTTCTGAAGTGCCGTAGCAAAAGAACCAGTTTTTAAAAAGCCTTCCAGATGAGTATGCAAAGCCAAGTGTTAAAGACAAATTCAATATATATTCTACATATATATTTCAATATATAATATTATAATATATGTAATAGTTATCCATATGCTTTTTAATATCCAGAAAAGGGAGCTAATCTTTGCGTTCAGACATCGAGACATCTTAAAATACTTGTCTGAAGTGTCAGTTTAAAAATTAATGTTGAAAAAGGATGCGTAGAAATATGCTCTCAGACTTTGCTATTTAGCACTTCTAGTGACTTACAGCTTTGCATGGCACAGTAATTTCTTGATTGAGATATGAGTGATAGGACTGAGAAAACAGGTAGTATACCAAAAGAAAATTCTCTGAATTGAAACATCTCTCTTGCGTGAGAGGATAAGTGGAATCGATTTTATCTATTTTTTTATTCTTTCTTTTTCTTTTTCTTTTTCTTTTTCTTTTTCTTTTTTTTTTTTTTGTGAGAATCCACATGATCTGAATATTTGACTGAATACATTGTGCTTGGCCTGGGAAACAGCAGTGTAGGAGCCAGATAACTTGGCTTTTATTTTCTCTGTAATGTCTTATTTCATGCGCCAATCAGTGGGCTGCACAGCATGATTAAGAATGTCAAACTTGGCTTTCTTTGACCATATAACCTAAATCAAATTGCAGAAAATTTTATCCTTTAAGGCAAATTTTGTTCTAGATAACAGAAAAGCGAAAGTTAACTTTGATATTGAAATGTTCAGATATATCAGTGGTACATTTGCAATGGTTAAAGAGAAAGCATTGTTACTTACATAAAATTGTAAGTTGAAAAACAGTTATATAAGGATAGTAAATTTCACATAAAACACATGATTAACTTTTTATATACTCTCTGAAATGATGCATAGCAATTAAACAATTTTTTAAATTGCTCTCTATATTTAAAAAAAATGGTCACCATGGTAGCTCCTTCCTGGTCCATGTTTCAATGGGATTAAGATTTAGAAGAATAAAATTTCTGTTAATGGGAATCCTCAGTGGTCAGAACTGAGGTGCCATGTCCATACCTTTTGTATGAAGTGAGTGTATCAGAAGACTCTGCCTCTCATGCTGAGGAGGTGTGCTTGTAAACATGGTAAGCAAAAACCTTCTGCCTGAGACAGACAGGAGGAAAGGCTTGGCACTAGTGTTGTTCCTCCCTTTTTCCACCAGCCCTTAGGTGTCCTCAGGTGATCAGTGCAGTGAGGGCCACACCAGCAACTTCAGTCAGCTCTGAAGACTGAAGTTGTGCAGAAACATGGGGTTGCCAGGAGCACTTTCCTTCCTCATCCGTTTCTCCAGCCATCTACTTTTAGGCTATCGCTCTGAAAGACATGGATAATGAGGTTCAAATTAACGCATAATGTAATTTATTTGCCACTGAAAAACTTATTTTTGCCAATCCCATTTCTCTCCAGACTGTAGTGGGAGGAGCAATATTGCCTACAAAAGATGTCTGAGTAGTGTGTTTAGATTTCTGAAGGTGATGGGTTGAGCCAAAGCTCTGCCCAGGTGCCCCTTCTGCTCTCCCTTCTTGCCTGACCCGGGTTTCCTGGAGGAGCACGTGCATTTACTTTCAGAAGATAAGCTTTCTTCTGCCTGGAATATAGCTTTCTTCCTGACATGGAATATAGCAGTCAGGACAAAGCAAAAAAACTCTCACCCCACCCATGTGCATCTCCATGCAGAGCAATAAAGGACAAACAGAGTAGTTACATTTGCATTCTAGAAGGATACATCTGTAAACAGGAGGTAACAATTGGCCGAATGACATCGTATCATGTAAAACCTCATTCAACCACTACACCCTAGCTGTACCTGAATTGTATCCAGGTTCTCCCTGTCCTTAGAACTGGTTATGTGTTGGGTTGATAGTTAAAGTCTAATTTAAGGTTGTCCTCAAGGCCTGAACATCTGGGCTTGTGGTGGCTGCATTCAGTTTCTGGAGCACATTGCCTGGAAGGCCTGCAGAACTGCCAAGTACAAGGTTAGCAACTGCTGTTCAGCTTTGGACTCTGCTCTTCATTGGCTGGAAACTTAGACAAGCACATTGCGGGCTACTTGCAGCAAACAGACCTACAGCAATCTCATCATTCTTTGTTTCCATCTTTTGCCTTGTAGCACCTCTGTCTTGCTCAGAAGAAAGACAAACAGTCTGCAAATCAATTCCCTAGAAGCACTCTACTCACACTGCATAAGGGATGCATCTTGTTCTGTTAGAGAAATATACATCATTTAAATGATTTGATGTGGTTTACAAGGGGAAGTATGGCACGAGTGGTTTGAACTGATTGAGAATAACTCAAGGTTGTTGCTAAATAGCCGTGTATATATATATTACTTGGTTAATACCTGCTGGCAAATGCTGAATGTTCACAGTGACCTCTGCAAACCACAATTATACATGGCACTGTGAAATGAATTTCTTGGCAAAACTGTTATGTGGAAGGTTATAATACAGATTTATTTAGTGGGTTAACAGACATTTCCTGCATTTCCATTAAGCAGTGATTCTTTTGAAGAGAAAAAGAGAAATTGTTTACATATGACTAACTACAGCTAGTGACAAATATCAGTTAGCTGCATTCTGTGCTTGGAGTCCCTTAGGCATATGTTTGGATTCTTGCTATATGCAGAAACCAACAGAATTATTTTGTTGTTCAATTTTATATTGAAATCCTTTGTGTGTGTGTGTGTGTGAGAGAGAGAGAGAGAGAAAGATGCATATCTGTATGCAGGCTCTGTCAATTTTTTTTTAATTTCAGGTTTAACGGTGGCTACAATACTGTTTGGCATAATAAGAAGTCTTCTGGTCTTTCAAGTTCTTGTTAATTCTGGTCAGACCTTGCACAACAAAATGTTTAAATCCATTTTGAAGGCTCCTGTCCTGTTTTTTGACAGAAATCCTATAGGTAAGTTTAATAGTCAAAAACACTTAACATTTAATGTAACTAATTCGTTATGTTAAATATTCTATTTCTGAGCAGTTATGAATTGAATGTAGTAGTTGTTTTGTTTTTTTTTACACACTTGTGGTTTCTGCTTCTTTTAATAAAAACCTATTCTGGTATTCCTAAATTCAGAAGTCAGAATGTTGACTGTTTATTGACAGTTGATCTTACTCCTTTCGAAACTGTGGTCTTGGTGTTGTTCATTGAACAGCTTGCTGCTAGTAGCACCAACTGCACCAGTTGCTGGTTGGTGCTGATCTGATTCAGTTAGCAAAGATCTCTCTGTGACATCGTGAACGTATATGCATGTGTTTTGTGGGGATGCCTTCCTTGTGCTTTTCTTTGAAAATTTGACCCCAGCCATCATTTGCCCTTTTTAGAAAATAATTCTAAGCAAGCGTGGTAATTCACAGTTGTTGAGAAACTGTGTAGTTTAATATCCTTCCAAAATGGACAATAGAATGCAATTTAAAACTGTAATGCAGATCCTTACACTCTTCAGAGGAAGAGACAGGGAGAAAAGCTGGAGCAGAGTTAAGAGAGTTGGGGAAGTGGAGTGGTGCTGATTTAATGACCAGAAATCTGATGTGCCTTCTGGCCTTCATTCTCTTGAAGGAAAGGAATACAGGGTTGGTTTCATCTTTCCAGGGACTGTTTAATAACTGTCAGGGTGCATAGGGATCGCTTTGTTGTTTGAGAGAGAGTAGGAATATTTTCAGGAAACATAATTCATGTGTAGAAAAGGTTCACATCCATAGTGTGATGAAAAAAACATATATAGTTTCCCCCTTAAAAAAAAAAATCTACAGCTGCATGAGTTTAAGGCCGTTGTATGGTCTGCTTGTACTCTGTGTCTGTGGCAATGAAAATTGAAGGCCGCCGCAAAGGGTTAGAAGTAAAGCAGTAAGCTCAGTAGAAAGCCAGTGAGAGCATATATGTCACAAGAAATTACAGTGCTAATGGGGTTTGTTGTCAGAAGTGCAGTGTTTATCCTCTTACCTTTTTGTATGCAGCGTGTGCACTGACTGTGTTTTTTGAGGAATACATAATCATCTTGTAAGAATGCCCAAAACCGTGGCTTATTGTAACAAATAAAGTCAGAGCTATAGACTAAACATCAGGGACAATGTAGAGTAATAAGAAATGGTTTGCTTTGTAACATACTGTGAAGCTCAAATTAGCAGTGCTTTGTAAAAGAGTGGCATTCATACAACCTGCCTATCGCTGGTATTCACATGCCATCATGACTTACTGATGTATGTTTCTATTTATCAGCGGATATTTTATAATAGAAGATTAACTTCAGTGTGTATAAATTTCTTTTCCTTCATCTTTCCTTTGGTCACGGTGGCGTGCAAAGGTACAGATGTTCTGATCTGAACATCTTTTGGAAAAGGAAAAAGAAAAGGAAAAAGATGATGTTGGAGGCGTGATGTTCAGAACTGCAGCGAGTAGCAGTTCTGAAATTCTGTTTTCAATATCTTTGTTTCTCCACCTCATTGAGGTGGTTTTGTTGTTTTTTTTTTTTCTTGCATATGTATCTTTTGGAATTTGCATTAGGGAAGGAAGCAAAAGCCTTTTTTTCTTTCCTTTTCTTTCCTTTTTTTTTTTTTTATTTTTAATTTTAAAGATACTGCACTATGAAATAGATACTGAAAAGAAGTGGAAATTACTAAATTATTAAAGCCTCTTTTTTCAGTGTTGTGACTGTAGCAATCAAGCCAAGCTATTAGTTAGCATATCTCACATTAGCAAAGGTGATACTGTAGCAACAGATCTATCATTTAAGCATCCAGTGTGTTTTCAGTATTTGTGTGAAGTCTCTGAAACATTTGCAGGATCAGTTGCAGAAGTGACTTTTGCTGTTTTATTTCTCCAGAAATAATCTCCAATTAAAAATGCCGGAGTCAGTATTTTGAACACACAGTGATCCATTTTCAAAGTTGAGGAAGGAAGGAAATTAATAGACATCCCAAGCTTTTTGTGGTTCTGACTGGAGAAACAGACTGATGAGCAGCATCAGGGAGTCGACATTAGGAAATGGAAATATGTATTGAATCATGACATGTCTGTCAACTCCCAACAGTGTAGATCCAATCAGTTGTGGTGAATAAATGCAATGACTTATTTCTTTAAAAAAAAAAAAAAAAAAAAAGCTTTTTGGATCAGCTTAAGCATGAGACTAAGGCCTCTGTTTACTCTCCTTATACATTACATCAGCAATGTATAGGGAGGTTTGTTAAAGGAATAGTAATGGGCGTCTCACTCAGACAACGGAGAATATAGGTATATTTTTAGGAACTTTGATTATAGAGCACAGATGGAAAAGAAGTATGAGGACCCCTCTCCTTTCTATTTTCCCACTCAAAAATATATTTATCTACACAAATTTCACTTCTCTGTAATTTGGCATGGATCTAAAAGTACTTACACATTGCTGTTGTGATGGTATTTTGCATTAGGTGAACCTTGCTAATGCACAGCTGTTTGTTTCTCAAAGACTTAAACTCATACAGCTGATAATCCAAAGTGACTAAAGCTTTATTGTGCTATCCCGGATTCAGAAAGAACAGATACTTATGACTGAAAGTTAAATTTATCAGTTGATACCTATATGGCACCAGTTAAACAGCTGTAAGGAAGTTATCCATTATGTGGTTGTTTTTGTGAATTCATCACATCTGGCTTCATTAACAGAAATTTCTTATTTACTCCTTTCAAGAAGTTGTCTCTTTCTTTAGAAACTTCCTTTCTTATTCTATCAGACCCCGTTAAGAGAGTTGCAGGCATGTCAGGATGTCTGTAAGGAGGAAAGTACGGCCATTCACACTGTGTAGGGTATGCTTTATATATTCCTCTTTACATGTCACTTGCAGGAGTAAAGGAGTTGGTTTCTGTGCAGGTCTAGCACAAGAGGGCAGCATGATCTGTTTTATCCCAGCATAGCATTGCTAGAGCTTGTTAGAAGGCTGACAAAATTTATGTTACAGTTTTAGAGATGGCATTTGAGGAACAGATTTTCAACCTCTACACTGAACAGAAGTGGTTCTGTTTAATTATCCTCATTATCTGCAAGTGTAATATTTTCTCTTAATCTTTTACAGTATAAACTTTTTCACTATGTAACCCTGAGTTCAGGAACCTAGTGGACAAAAGTCAGATAACTCTGTGGAGTTTTGGTCCAGTCAGTGAGGTTTTCAGCCATTATTCCTTACATTTCTTTCTCAAAATGTATGAAATGTTTTAAAACAAGCATGATAGAAAGTGAAGTAAAAGAGACTCGAACCTCAGCTGCAATGACTGTTGAGTTGGGTGTTCCCTCTTTTAAAATTAGTTTCTTATTGATAATGTAGGAGATTTTGGCTTTGACAAGCTTTAGGATTTGATTCAAGATTACTTGCTTAGCTTGTAAAAAAAAAAATTGTTCTTTCCTGGGATTTGGGAACAGAGATTTCTTTAGAGGAGGAATGCTAATGTATAACTGCATCACTTTCAGTAATGGTAGTTTTAGTGGAGATTGTGTGCAATTTTGAACTGCATTGAGTTTAGGAAGCTGAAACCTGCTGCTGCTGTGCTGATGGGTGCTACAAGAATGAATGAGTGATATGCATGAATTTGTTCAGATAAAATAGAAATCTCTTCCCCCTCCTCTGTCTAAAATTCAAATTGAACGAGAACCATTACAGAGATGCATTTGAAAGTGAAGCTCTTTTTTTCTTTTTTCTTTTTTTTCCCTGTTTTTTTAAATTTGTCTCTCCAGACCGTTGATTCTGATGGTTCATGCAGTGAGGAAAAATATTTCGGCAGGTATTACAGCATTCTGGTCTGCCTATAGACAGAAGATAATGAATTGTATGATTTGTCCTTTACCTGTTAAATTAGCAGCTTTCCCACTTCCTGCCCTCAGATGCTTCACGGAAGCTGCATTGATCCCTTTTGGTTGCTTACTCAAACTTCAAGGTTTGACCAAGGTTATGTTCTTCTGTCGTGGCTTCCAGAAACGATGTGCCAAACTGATAGCTAAGAGCAGCATATAAAGCAAACTCCAACTATTAAAAGATAAAAATGTGAAAGAAAGCTGATTTTATAATGAAGAGTTTGTTTTTCTTTAAGGCATAAGGATTTTAATTATGGTGTTCATAAATCATGTGTTGAAACATCTATAATTTGACAGAGAAAGTTTCTTTATAGGATTAAAAGCTTGTTCGTCAGTGCACAAGTGTCTATCTGCATTTTATCTGACAGAAGCGTCAAATGGGCCGTGTTTAAAGTATTTAAGCTGTATAATATTTGCAACAAATACGACATTTCAGCAGTTTGAAAATTACAATGCTGATAATGAGGTTGTTAAATTATAGTTCTATCAGTTGGATAGTGAAACTGCTTTAGTTAGTGTACATTAATGTATGCTTGTTCACACAAGTGATTCTGCTGAACGAGTAACATGTTTGAACAAGAAATACTGGTCCTATACCCTGTGATTTATAGTAGGTGGTGTTTTGGCATATCATCCAGTTAACAAGGCAAAGCTTCATGTTAAAATATTTCGTTTGTAGTCTCATTCATCTCTGATATAAATATTCAGTAGTGATGCCAGAAAATGTATTGTATTCCTATTTGACTCAGTGATTCAATTGCTTTCTTTTTTTCTGAAACAAGATCTATGGTATCTTTCTGATGCAGTTTTCAGATATTTCCTTGTGGTCAAGATGAATTCTGAGGGATTGTGTAAAAGTATGCTAGATGTCTTGACAGCTTCCATGTTCTCTCAAGCTAATACAAAAAGAAAAATGTTGTCCTTAGAGTAGCAAAGGCTTTGTTTGCGACTCTCTTTGCCAAGCTCCAAAACGGGTTCACATGTGCATAGGTTTGTTAGTTTATGTTGAAAAGAAGTCCCTACGGGACAGCCTCTTGTTGTAAAATAAAAATGCAGCTTCTCTTCCGTGTTGGTAATCACTTGC